TTCTTTCAGTCGTCTCTTTCCCAGTCTCTCGCTCTTCTCTCTCTCCTCTCTCTCTCTCTCTCTATCTCTTCTCTCTCTCTCTCTCTCCTCTCCTCTCTCTCTATCTCTCTCTCTCTCTTCTCTTTCTCTCTATTCTCTCTCTCTCTCTTCTCTATCTCTCTCTCTCTCTCTCGTTCTCTCTCTCTATCTCTCTCTCTCTTCTCTCTCTCTCTCTCTCTCCTCTCTCTTCTCTCTCTCTCTCCTCTATCTCTATCTCTCTCTCTCTCTCCTTCTCTCTCTCTCTCTCTCTCTCTCCTCTCTCTCTCTCTCTCTCTCTCTCTCTCTCTCTCTCTCTCTCTCTCTCTCTCCTCTCTCTCTCTCTCTCTCTCTCTCTCTCTCTCTCTCTCGCTCTCTCTCTCTCTCTCTCTCTCTCTCTCTCTCTCTCTCTCTCTCTCTCCTCTCTCTCTCTCTCTCTCTCTCTCTCTCTCTCTCTCTCTCTCTCTCTCTCTCTCTCTCTCTCTCTCTCCTTATTCCCTTCTCCTTCCCTTTCCTCCCTTGTAATGACGGGGCAGGCTGCGTCCAATGTCTCGCTCACACACAGCCGCATACCTCCTCATCGCGTGTGGAGCGGCTCGCAGAAAACCTCCGCCAGACGAAGACTTCATTGACTAATTCATAACCTCACTAAGCGCCGTAAACCCATCGCCTCACCGCGCCGCGGGGCTGAAGTTGCACCGCCCAACGGCCGTTTTTACACATCGGTCTGCAGGCATGCGAGCGTGCAGGGTGGGATTGGATGGGGACGCACCGGTGAAGTGGGGGGAGAGAGAGAGAGAGAGAGAGCGAGCCGCGCTGGAGGGCGGGGCGGGCCGACGGCCACCGGGCGGCGCTCACCGCCGCCCCGCGTCAGTTAATGGCAGGCTGATTGTATAGCGTGGCGGGTATGTCCGGCCGGTTTGCCAAGGAATGTACCAAAGGTGGCTAGAAAATGGCATTGCGTCAGAGCTCGGCAGCCGGCACAGTAAAAGTGACCGCATCGGCTAAGTGCTCGTGTACCCTGGCTGACGAACTGAATGCATTTTTCTCTTCAACTTTCCGGTGAATGGAAGCCGTTTTCTGCTTTAGAGTCCCTGACATGATCTCTAGCTCTCATACGAACGGCAACTGAGACTCACTGTCCCCCTTCTTGCCGTCAGGTTATCGACGCTCGCCACGCCGCTGCTGCTGACGCTGCTGGCCACGGTGCATGGAGACTTTGTCGACATCGGTAAGTATATCAGAACAACGGCAGAAGTCAAAGTGTCGTGACGCTGTGTCCTCTTACACGCATTTATGTTTGTGCATGGTAGCGAGGACAATGCACTGTTGCGCACCACACGAGAGCTCAGCACTGTTCACCATCCCACGAACGAGATGATTGTGCGAGTTTTCCTCATAAACCGGCCAAACGCAACGCAAGCACTATTAAACACTTCCGAGCTTTTGGACGGCGTCTATATTGAGCTAAAGGGCTCATCGGATCGGACTGAAAAATACCCGGCATAACGAAACAGCGCTAAAGCCTGGCATATCACGCGTGATTGTTGAAAGTTGAGTTCAAGTGTGACAGTTTTTCCTGACGTCAGCCGGCCATACCCATAATGATACACGCAAGAAGCATCTACAGCATGGATTTTGATGATCCTAGTCAAATGATACACGGCACCAAACGTGATGAATATGTCGGTCACAATTAAACACGTTGGCCCCGGCTGCTGTTGCCGCGTGTCATGACTGGCGTCGGCCCTCAGCCCTCGTCATTGCTACTACAAATTACCATAAGTCTGCGTCGGGACGAGCATAGCTGACAGCTGATGGCAGCGTATTTCACGCGCTGGCCGCGCGATGAGAAAAGTCGCCGTTGGTCTGCAAACGGCAAAGCTCATGCACCTATGACTGTGATGCAAACGGCACTGGGCGGTTACACACTAGACGAGAGGCAGTAAATGATATGAGGAATACTTGGTCTCGAACGAGTAGTTAAGGATGTCTGAAGTAACGTAGTGGCGGATTTTATGCAGAGGCGCAGTGGTGACACCGTATCCCCGCATCAGTGTGGGGATATGGGCATCCCAGATAACCCGCTGGCCGAGCAGAGCACTCAACTCTTGAACAGTAGAGCAAGGACTTCCGATAGTCGAACCTGGAAGGCTGGTGAGAGAATTAATCGCCTTTTTGTGCGGAACCTTTGGGCAACGAGAGAGATATCGGCCCTTTCTGGATTTTTTTTCTGGATTTTAAAACGTAAACAAAGGTCAGGCTCCTTGACACGCGAAGTCAGGTCGGACAGGCCGTTGCCACTGACCCAAAAGTTAGCTATCACCGACATAAGATAGGAGACGGCTGTGGGGTACGAACGGGGACAGCTCATCAACCTGCGCCCGGCCGGGGGTCTGAGGCAAACGCACCTGGCCGAGGAGAAGTTGACTTCCCCCTTGGAATCTCCAACTTCCAGACGCCACATGCGGAGAACAAAGATACTGTCTTGAAAGTCTCATCGAATCATAAAAATGCACACGAAATTTCTGACTTCAAGTCAAATGCGAGGTCAACGGAGGTTACGAAAGGTCAAAAACGGTCGTATTGATCGATGTATTTGAAGCCTATGCTAACATGTCAAGACGGAAATCGCGAGCACGGAAATTAGTGTTAAGACTGTGGGGAGTTTATTCTTACCATATCTGTCTCCTAGCATGGGCCATACCAGATCAGGTCACCATTCAAAATTGGTCAACCAGTAGCCTACAAGAACCATACTTTTACACAATGCGCTTCCGTATATTTTGCTAGGTGCACCTGTGGGACAAAAGCATTTCAGACACAAAAAAAAAACAGTTGAAGACTGTCTTAGGGGTCAGCGGAGGTGAAGTTAGATCAAACAAAGAAACCATGCAAGTGAAAAAATTCGAAGCGCTTACTGGGTTTATGTGACCAATACAATGCCTTTCTATGGGCAGAAATAGTGTATTGTACACTTGCAGGTACACAAGATCGCAAAGCTGTGGTCTACATTTTACACAAGCCCTTCGACGGTTGGCAATGCATTTGAAACAGACGGATACTTATTAGTATATTGATAATTATTGTACTAAGATAGCATCTTTAGAACTATTTCAAACCCAGCATGTGCTGTGCATGCACCAAGCATGGGCCCATAGAGGTAGGTCATGACCTGGGCCAAGGTCACGTGCTATGTGGTTATATGATGGCTTTGCATGCAGGCTGGTACTCTTTTCCAATATACAAACCGCAAAACTGTACTAAAAGCGTACAAATTTACCTTAGCTACGACAAAATAGCAAAAAATTACCTGGCATCAGGTCACTGACTGTTCTTTTTCAAAAGGTCTGAAATAGACAAGCTGTGGGTACTGTCGTGTTCTTTTGCTGTAAGATGTTAGACAATTTGTAAATGATACACGAGAAAATATGTGTGGTCGTTTTAAGAGGCTGACCTCTTTGACTTGACCTAGGTCACAGATCTTGGTAGAAAAAAGCTTCAAATTTGCACAGCGTATGCCAAATTTATAGTTAAACATATGCGGAAAGTTTTGTGTTGCTGCAAGCGTGTGTTCTTGACCCGTGCTCGAAAAACCGTAGAAGGAAGTCAGCTTGCCACCCAGCCGGCCTCCGGCCGGGCGCAGGTCAAGGAAGGTGAGAAACAAGATGAGTCCGACAGTGGGGCCTTGGGCAGCACCGTGGGTGAATGTGAGGTTGGAACGGTTGCCGCTCACCGTCTGCTTCCGCTCGCTGAGGTAGCTCTGGTAGAACCAGCCGGTTGGCCGCACAATGCCGACCGAGTTTCCTTCCAGACGGACACCGTGATGGACGCTGACGCTGCGGCGTCGAGGCCAGTCGTCGTTAGCGATGCGATGTCGACTTTGACGATCGTTTGAGAGAGCTATTCGCCGGCGTCGAGCGACGGTGTCCCCGTGCAGCGAGCGGGTCGTCAGACGTGTGGTGGAGACGTGCTGCAATTCAGCAACACGCAATATTGCAATGTCATGTATCTAGATAGCTACGACTACGACCCACTCACCGTTGCAGACGCCTGTGACGCCGTTATCGGTCAAAATTGCTTTTAAGGATAGAGATAAACTTGCATACCTGATCCTGTGAATTGCCTCGTTACTTTCGAGACCTGTCGTCTCTTCCTCAGCAAACCATCCGGCCAACGGCACCTCCTGCATCTTACAGTGCATGTGCAAACGCAAATATAAAAGTCACAAACTACGACTGCCTACGCTGCTTTGAAATAATGACTTACCATTATTACCGTTCGCAGTCGCCGGAGCTACATGCCGGCGCACCACACCGGACCCGGAGGGAGAATACGTGCGTGCATCGATTACAAATATGCATGGGATCATTGGATATAATGATAATTCATACGATGATAATGCATGTAACGATAATATACATGATAAAGCATATAACTTAAATACATATATTAAGCATAGATTAATGACGATGCATATAATAAACACACATATAATGAGACATATGAATAACATACAACTAATGAGGATATGTTCAATCATAACACATACCATGATAATGCGCATGCCATAATGATCTGACCATTCTGGGATCCCAACCCGGCGTGCGATCGCTCGCCATCAATCCCTCTGGATCAAAAGAATTGCCACTCTACTAGTGTTCCTAGATGGAGGTTCATTTCAAACTCGTCTCGAGCGCCGGCGGCCTTTTCTCGGCTCCGAGCGCGCTGAGCGCCGGCGCCCCCGCCCGGCTTCATCCCCGCCGACCGGGGCTCGAGGGCTGCTCGAGCGGCTCTCGCAGCCGGCCATTCTGCAATATTGAGCAGCCGTCGTCAGTGTCCGGGCCACGATGGGCTCCCAGAGATCGTCATCCGTGATCGGGCCGTTCTGGTGACCGGTTCGTCGCGGCGGCGGCGCTTCCGGGCCGGCGCGGCAGAGCGCCCCGGTCGCTGGGGGGCGTCCCGGCGCGCTGTTTGCCCGGGGTGTTTGAGCGGGGATCAGCGGCCGAGTTTAGATCGGTAGGCGTCGGACCCGTGCGACGCGCCGTGATTGATCCGTCCGGGTGGGTGGGTGATAAACTCTTTGAGCTGTTAGATAAACGCGGTGATTTAAGTGAGTGGAGAGGGATAGGGCAGAAGGAAAGAGGAATGGAAAAGGACAGGGAGAGGGAGGCGGTGAAGTAGACGGACAGGGAGAGGAAGAGAAGAAAGACATGAAGAAAATCAGAGAGAAGGGGAGGAAAGAAGAAGAGATGAAAAGGTAGACAAGCAAGAGGAGTTCCGTGGACATTTTAAGACTAAAAAGCCAGCCTCAACTTCCATCCGACACAAACTTCACGACTCTCCCCCCCCCCCCCCTCCCGCACCACAATGCCTGTGTGGGCGGTGACACCACTGGCATGTTGCGCTTTAAATTCCTGCCAGTGTCATTTGCATTAGCCTTTCGCGGACGCTCTGCGGCCGTTTGAGGCAAACCGCCGCTTCCCTGCGTGGCTGGCACCGGCTACCGGAGCGCCGGTAAGTTGTTGAATAGACGGCGGAGCGAAAAAGCAGCCAACTTGTCGCGACCGGTCTGTAAAGCGCTGATCAGCTATTGATGTTTAGCGTGCGAGTGAATGGTGGGAGGCGGAGCGGAGATTGGCCGGCCGGCGCAGACGGCGCGCTGCCGTCTGTCGGCGAGCGGTGAATGTGGCCGTCGGCAGGACCACCGGCCGGCGCTTGCGGTCAGTCGCTGAAGAAGTCGACCAGGGTGACGCCTTGTACGCGAAACATCTGAACGACGCAGGCTTAGTACATGACACGGGTGTAAACGGCGAGTGAAGTCCAGTGGACGACGGCAAATGTTCTGTCTCTACAGTCATTTATCAATATTGCTGCGCTTCGTATGTCGCATCTCAGGTGGGCTCAACCTTGCGCTGTATCCTGCACTGCAGGATGCAGCGACCTTTGGGAAGTTCTGACCGCACAGGTCAACTCCTCTCGAACTCAAACCCTTCGTCCATACGAGACCATTCTTTTGAGTGTGACAGTCGCTTTAACATTGATAACTATTCCATATTAGGACGATACAACAATCAACTCAATATCAGCATCAAAGTATCACTTCGTATACACCAAAAGAAGCCGCCATCAAATGTCATGGGTTTGCATATTATCTGCAAATCATAATGTAGCCTGTTTCATACAGAGTCCAAAGGATATTTCGTCGCGTGATTTTGTATCTTTTAAAGG